TATATTGTCTATTTAAAATTTATTATAATTTTGTTTTATTCGTGCACATGATCTACATCTATAAGGAACCCTAAGAATCCATAGGTGGGGATTATACCACCCAGGCGTTGATACCGAGCAGTATAGATCTGCTCTATAGAATGTAAGTAATCCACTTTACATTCCTTTGCTTTGCTGTATACAGAGAGCACTATATTTTTATTCTCTCATTTTGGTTTGAATAATATTCACTCGAATACGGAATTTGGGCCAGAAACTCTCCAATCAAACACCACTTTACATATCCTTGAGTGGGGATTGTTCCACTTCACGCGCTCAATACCAGAGCTGGGATCTAGCTCTGGAGAGTGTGAGTACGGCTATTTTATTCATTTAGAATTTTATTTTCGCTGATATACTGTACCATTGGAGTTCCTGTTTCTGTTTCCCTTCCATGTATTCCTTATTGGATTCGAGTATATCACTGTGAAGATTCCACTCCATTCTGACGTCTCAGGATTTCCTGTCTTCTTGAAATATCTCACCACTACGGACTCTTGATAAGTGGTTTTGGACTATTATTTTATCACCATTTTATATCCACCATTATCATTTTATATTTGCTTCTATTATTTTACCATATATTGTGTATATGTTTTACCATATATTTTAGGCGCACTCCTATCTCTTCTTTTTTATTTATTTTACCTTATTATTTGGGGATTTTAGGGGATTCCCCTCTTAGAGGTGCTGCCTTTTTATTTATTTATTAATGTGGCAGTAGTGCGCTGATTTTTTCTTCTTTTTTCGTCCTATTGTTATATGTAGCAGAGTTTTCCCCATTTCCCTGATTCTGAGTTGATATGTTGGTATAACAGCATGATTAATTTGGACTGGGATGTTTCTTTGAAACATAGTTTCTCAAAGAAGGTGAACTGTGTTTCCGCTACTGCACGGATTTCTTTGTTGCGCGCAAAGTCTCTAATTTGTAGATAGCGGAAATAATCTCAAGACTGAAGGGTTGCCAGTGTTCTCAAGTGGTCGTAGGTAACTATCTCCTCATCAATGTACATATGTTTGTATCTTTGGAGGCATGTAGCTTCAATAACCTTAAAGTCTTGTGCCCACATCCCTAGTAGAAACAGCCTATTCCTAAGGATTGGAGTCATTGGGGATGGGATACAGGGCGTATTTTTGTGCTGCGGAGTCCCAAACTTGGATGGAGTATGGCCGGGCAGGTGGGTATTAGGAATGCTCTATGAGTTTTAGGGACCCACATATAAAACCGAGGTAGATCTGTCCCTGTCAATAAAGATTCTATATCAACCCATCTCCTTTGGTCTGGGGAGAGTGCCAGTACATTATCTGGGTTAATTAAGCTGCAAAGTAATAATGATATAGATGGAGTAGCACCAGCCCTCCCCAATTTTAGGCCGTTATAGAAAATTGCATTGCAAAATTATCTAGGTCATTTTTTCTGCCTGATAAATGTGTCTATCGCTTTTTGTATGACTGACGGTCCCTTCTGGTGATCTGTATGGGCAATGATTGAAAAAGAAAAAGAAGTCTGGGTAAGACGTTTTATGGAGTGAAGGCGCCCAATCCAGGATAATGGTTTATCTGTCCACTTCTCAAGGTCCCCCATGAGAGTGTTGAAAAGTGGAGTGTAGTTACGTTGGAACAGTGTGGCGGGGTTTGCTGTCATGCAAACGCCCAAATACAAGAAGTCGTCTGTTGCTACTCTAAGGTGGTATGTCTGCTTGATGGTTGCGATGTCTGGAAATGACAGGTGGAAAGGCATAGCCACAGATTTAGTTCCATTAACTATATATCCAGATAGGTCTACATATGTTCGAGTAGTGTTTCTAGTCTTGTCCTAGCGCTTACCAAAGGACCATCACCACCGTAGACACCATAAGTACTGCAGACTCGACGAACCGCCGCTGCTGGGCTGGGATCTCGCCATCTGCTATCCACCCTAGACCTATGACGAGGCTCCAGGTTACAGTGGGTGAACCTCTTCCTTCTGTAGAGCGAAGCAGGATCAGGAACAAGAGCCCTTACAAGAGCTCAGTAGCTAAGGGAGTATGCAGAGCATAGCAATCCCTGTAGTGATTATAGCTGCCCCTACAAACACGAGTAGAGGCTGCGAGTTAGAGGGTCAAGAAGTTATGTTTAATCAGCACTATAGGGCTTTATTTTATGCAAGTTTTTACACACAGTTACCACCCACATGGTTTTGTGGAACAGCCAATCAAATACATAATAATACAGTCAGACACTCCCAGTTAGGACACACAAACCCTCCCCTCTGCCTGTGATATAATTACTGTACAAAATGGGTTAACTTAATTATCACAGGCAGTAAAATACACAGTTTCATACAATATTCATAACTCCTAAAATATTCATACAATCTCCATAAACGTGTTTTACATATTTTGAATCAGCACACTCCAAATACAAAGATACCCAAAAATCAGACAATTTCCTCCAGTGGTTAAAAAGTTAGGTGGAAGTCCTTTTTGACCGACCGCAAGCATGGCTTTCCTGCCCAAAACAGTTCCATAGATTTGAGCTGTGTGGTCGGTCTATTTTATGCAGAAAAATAACCCGAATGGGGCGCCGTTAGTGTAAATAGCCCAGTATAACTGTGCATTCGAATCGTCGAACGCACTTCGATTTCAGCCAAAGCGTCGAAGTTGCAGAGAAGGTAAGGGTCAGCTGTGTTTGTGCAGTTTTGTAGCCGATTTCAGTTCTATGAATTTGACGGCACACACTGCTGACCGCGTTGCGGTCGGCAATTAACCTGCAGTTAACCACCAGCCTGGAAGGTAAATTGCCTGCACACTTCCACTTGCGTGTGGTCCGCCTGTTCGGTAATTGGTTTGGTAAGCCCCAATTACCGAACCATATGAGAAAAGGACATGAACCAAGTGTTTTAAAAGTCTTAAAGGAGCATTGTCACAAAAAGTCTCAATATGCCTATAGACTGTTTTTAAAGGGCCATACACCCCAGGGCAATAGTCATGAGGCAGGAGACTGGCAGTCAGGCTTCTCCATAAGCCATGGGAACACAGCAAATTGTCGCACGAAAAACCAGTTACAAAAGGCAATCCTGTGTGGTTAAGAAAGATATTGTCTATTCTGGAGTAGGTGTCTTGGGGGTGTGAGTAAAATGTATAGTCTTGTGCAATCTCCAGGCGTCCAGAAGGCCAGTGTGAGTCAGGAACATGTGTAAGAGTTTGTCTTTTCCCCCTCTACCCTGGGATCTCTGGATCCCTTGTTTTCTGCTCCTGTCGACTGCCGGACACGGCACCACTTTAAAGTCGCCCCCCACAGCTAGGATCCCACCCCCTACATTGGAGGTTATTGCTTTCAGTGAGGCCCAAAAGGAGTTGTCCGGCTCATTGGGAGCATATACATTTATAATACTGATTTTGTGTTGTGTAGAGTACCCATTACTACTAAGTATCAGCTTTCTGGGTCCGATTGGCTATTTGTGATTAGTAGGCAACGTTTATGAATTAAGATGGCAACCCCTGCCCTCTTCCACATGCTCCTCACCTTGTGTACACTTGTATATAGCCTGTCGCCTAGCTTGACGGGTGCAGACCTGGGAGGTGCATCACCTGGACTAATATGACATCTTTCCCCTTATATCCCTCAGCAGGAGCCTATTTTTATTGGGAGTGTTGACGCTTTTGATGTTTAGGGAGTCTATCTTAAGGGCAATGGGTGAGTAAGGTTCGGTGGCTTAATGTCAGCTGTCTGTAGGTGGTGGTCTTCCCCGTCTTGTCCGTGATAGTTGGGTATGGGGCATCTGTTGAGAATATCTCTATGTTTTCCCTACCGGTGTCGCATGCATAAGCCAAAAGGAAAGTTGAACAATAAACATCAGTACCAATAACAAAGTAAAATATAACATACAAGTGCAGTTAAGTATTTTTGTGTCTGCTCTTACACTCTGCTAGAGCAAATTGGGGGTGGGGATGGCATTCCAATGCACCATTCCACTATGTATCGAGGTGGCAAACTCACATCTTGTATCAAAACTTTTTTATTTCAGCAGCATCTCCGTAGGCTAAGGGGAGGAGAGGGGGGAAGTTAAATGGGGATGGCCACCTTATTTTATTAGGGAGACTGAAATAAGCTGGGGTATCCCACTGGTGCGCCCTTAAGGAGTAATTATTGCTAAGCAGCCAGGACCATACCTGCCTCAATGGCTCTGTATTTAGTAGGGCTATGCCAGCCTCAAAATGGTACTGCATATAGATAACTGGGGGGGGGGTTGGAGGGTTTCAATATTACGAAGGCACATCTGCTCTCCGGACCGTAAAAGCATAATGTGTGCGGTCGATTACCCATTTGTCATCAGGTATATCAAGTAGCAAATGCTTGAGGTAGTGTCCGAGCTTGTCCACCAGGGACCTCTCATTCTGTGATTCCAGAAAGCTTCTAATACAGTTTTTACATTGTGACTGTGACGGACCGCTGGCACTCCGACTGAGTACCTCCGCCAATCGATGCTCCTAGTGCTCGCTGAGGACTCCAAGCACTCCAACCGACACCATCAGCACTGCAGACCCCACTTCCAGCGATGCAACTGCGCCGGGGTCTCTGCTGTTTCCACCCACCCTGGACCCAAGGCCAGGATCCAGCTTCCAGTGGGTGAACCTCTCTTTCCCCAGAGAGGAACAGGAACAAATCAAGCTATTGCAAGAGCTTCCTCTGGGGAGTAAGTGATTATAGCAATCCCCAGAGTGTAGGTATCCCTTCCCCCAAACATGAGCCAAGGCTTAATGCTGGAACAAGACTGATTTACTGGCACACAGAACTCACAATTTATGCAACACAAAACTCCTCCTCTGGGCCAGGCTAGATAATTGAGTTTCTACAATACACAAAGCTCAATTATCTGCTGGCCAGAAATAATACAGTTTCATAAAACACACAGGGACCCCAAAACATGCAATAACCCCATAAAAGTATATCCTTGGAACCGGGGGATCTGGGTGAACCACATATCCAAAATTCACCCAGATCCGTTCAGTACTTTGGAAAATACAGTTTAATGCAGATTCTGCAGAACATATACAGGCTAAATGAAAAACAATCACTTTATAATGTGTCCCCTGCTGTATAGTCCAAAACCACTGCACGATGTCTCTGTGCACCAAATACTGGCAAGATGGCACCATGTTGAAAAGTCCAAACAGTGTCTGTGAGTTAAAATGGCCGCCATCCATTGTTCTCACCATGTGCTTCTGATACAGGAAATGGTGGCCACCCAGTAACTCCACAGTATGTCCCCAGATGGTTCTTAAAGGGCCAGCAGCAGCACAACACAAATCCATTATGCAAAAATCATGTCTTTAAAGGGCAATACATCCCAGGGGCCATAGTCACAGGGCAAGAGGCGGGCAAGCAGTCCTCTCCAGGCAAAAGTGGCGAAGGGCACTTCGTCACAGTGACCTATTTGCTAGGTCTTCCACCAGCATTTCAAGCTCTTTAGCTGTTTATCCATTGACTGCGATTGGGTCACGACTGTGTTGTGGACCTGCACCATAGTTTCAACCGTTTTCTAGGTCTGTCATGTGCATCCTCAGGGCCTGTATTTCAGCTTTTACCTCTTGGGAGCTGCGAGAGATCTCTCCCGCCAGGTAGTTCCTGACTTCCAATAGCTTGGTGAGTATTTGAGAGGTTTCCCCCCTTTGCTCTTCTAGGGGCTCACTGTCTGCCGTGGGAGTCGGGGAGAGGGAGCCGTGAGGGCTAGGTTGGTGGCCATCTTGTGCGGCCTGGTTTGAACTTGAGGCAACAAAGAGATCAGTGACAGTGAGACTGGCATCTCTAACCTCCCCTCTCTCTTCCTGAGCTGGTTTTGCTTGTGAGCCCACGGTGGACATGTTAAGCTGCAATTAAGTGAGTCTGTCCAGTCCGATGCTTTTGATATGTGGTAGATTAGAAATGGATGAGCGGGAGCTCTCTGATCAAGTGGCCATATAGGTCAGTAGTCAGGCCACACTACCCAGTATACAATTTTTGATAATCCAGATGCCTCCAGCATTTTTTCGAATCCGGATATCGCGACTCAACTGTATCTAAACTACAAATTGTTTTTAAAAAGCTATTACAAAAATGGTAATGAGGAACGTCCCACTAACACCTTTGCACCTCCCCAGGGTAGATACACCTCACAGGTTAAGATATGTAGGATATGAATATCCATTTTTCTTAATATCCTAGCTGTTCATATAAGGGTTAATTTGAACCAAGAATAAATTTGGAATTGTATCTCCGATTCTCGGAAATAAAATGTATCTAAAATCCTATTTACGGGAAAGGTTCTTGGAAAATGATTTTGAGATGTTCTTGGATAAGGATTTTGGGATGTTCTTGTTACTTGTCCAAGATTTCGGTATTTGTAATCATCTGGGTTTTATCCAATATGCATACATTATATAACACTGAATTATAACTAGAAACAGCTGTTTATAACTTGTGAAATCAATGTTATTGTCACGCCCATATGCTCATTTTTCCCTCTCCCATCCTGCTATGAAAATGGGGTATAAATATAACTGACGTATGAATACAATTTGAATTGGTTATTGAACACGTCTCTGCTATTCATTTCCAATTTCCAGAGCTCTGAATGAGTTGGCAAATATCCATCATCCACAAAGGACCTGGGCTGATTTTATCCCCAACAAACTGGTGTCAGAAGTTTGGGTGCAATTGGGAACGCAGATTACAGGTAAGAGGATCTTTAACCCCTTGGGGACACAACTTCTGGAATAAAGGGGAATCATGACGGTATATTTCTGTTGTGTGTCCTTAAGGGGTTGGGGACCTTTGCCTGCTTCTACCATCCTCCCACACATTGCATTTCTTGTTTTAATGGGGTTTTACACTATTTACATTTTTAAAGGGGATTTTCACTGCATAGTGTCTTTGGTAGACATGATTTTTTTAAGTCTTAGGTAGACTTCTATTACTCCTTGGGTTGCAGGAATGCCTTTGGCAGGCAGTATTGTGCCTGCCAAAGACAATTATTCTTTGGTAGAGTTTCACCTTTGGCAGGTGGTATAAAAAAATTTCAAGCCTTTGGCAGGCTGTGATGTCATGTGATGTACATTTACATATGGGTTTTGTAGACAAAAATGATTTAGAAAAAAAAAGGGGGTTAAAAGGGAATATTGTTTAAACCCGGTATGATGGATGTTTGGCATTACTCCGGCTTGCTACTTTATGTGCTATTTTATGATGTGCAATGCTGATTTTAAGCATAAAGTCTTAATTGAGGGAATGTATAAAGTACATGTAAAGGTGATGAAAAAAAAATAGAGGTTATTTAAGGGGGGCTACAGATTCTAGAACTAACATGATTTCTCTGCATGTATGTTTGTTTGCATAATGAGCCCTTTATTTTTATACTTGGACAAAAGCACTATAAACCCACTACACTATTTCATGAGAGTGGGATGTATGAGTGTTTATATGATGAGCCCTTTATTTTCATATTGGGACAAAAAGTCACTTCATTCAAAACGTCAAACACCACATTCTTCTGCCCTGTGTGTTTGTTGCAGAGAATTTATGTTGTAAATTTAGTTGATTATAAATTAAAGAGCAAAATTTATATTTTCAGCGGTCCAACACATGCTTCATTTTGTGCTGCAAGCTAACTTTTAATATTCCAGTACGTCACATGTTGTATGTGCTTTAAATTGTATGTATTCTGTAAATTGTTGTATGGGGTTAATGAGATTTTATTGATTGTGACCCGAACTGTGCAGAAGTGGGTTTGAAATTTTGGTCATGAAATGTAGGATCAGAAAACCATGGACAAAGGTTTTTACCTGTGTTGGTCTGACTTTTGGAAACTCAAATTGACCGGTCAAAATTTTGCTATGCCTTTAACATGTAGTAGTATAAATATTATGAGTCTTTGAGAGTTCTGACAAATGCAGGTGATACCATGTCTGAGTAATCTGGTCCAAATGTTCTATAAGCGTATAAGAGAGAAATTCTATTGACAGGGTACATATGTTGCAACTGGTTAATGCAAGTGTTATACAAATGTTTAAGTCAGACGCGTTATATGGCCGTCCGGGATCCCTTCTTTAAAAAGAAAAAATAAACCCTTTGGTACCAGAACTCTTAAATCTGATACCAACTAAAATTGGTATACCTTACAATAATATGTTCTGAATACAGCTGTTAGAAGTTTATTCTGTGTAAATGGTGATTGTGATAAATGTGTGTTTTGGGTACTCATTTTGAAGTATGCAGTTTAATTGTCATGTATGTTAATGGGTATTTTGCTGTGTTATTTTAAATTATATTTGAATAAGTTTGTCTTAGTATTGATACAGATGGAAATGGCAGCGTAATAATCTATTAAATAACTGATTTATTATTGAATACTGGTCTAAGAGCAATATGAGTTGTAGTCTTAAGAAAGGAAAAAAAGGAGGGAGGCTGTTTTTGTAAGTTTTAGCTGATTTCCAAAATTCTGTTGCAATAATGGACTTCCTGCCAAAATTTGACTTTCCTGTCCAGTTGCCAGGTTCTCTGATCTAATCTTAAAGCAGTACTGCTTGCATAGTTTGCAGACATGCATAATGCACAAACATGAGAACCTATTTTATGTCTGTCACAGAGTGTGACATTTATTAATTTATTTTGGATTGAGTTAATTGCCTGTCCATGAATATGCTTTTTGTATTGGCATGTCTGCTGGATATCTGCTAATTTCGTTGTGTTCTGTGTTATAAGACATGTGTGATATTACAATGAGTATGAAGAATATTTAAAGAATATTTGCATGTCATTAATGCAAGTCTTTTTACAACAGATTAAAAAAAAAAAAAACGCTGGTCATCCGACAAGAAAGGGGCCCCTGGGAAAGAAAAGAAAAAAAATCATCTGCTTTTCAAAATCGTGGATCCACGTTTCCAATTTTAAATGTCTCTCTCTCTCTCTCTCTCTCTCTCTCTCTCTCTCTCCGTATTATTAGGGGAGTATTAAGAGTTAACTCTACTTTTAAAGTGCATTGCATTATTTAAGAAAAAGAAAAATTTGTTATCTTTAAAATAAACAATTGTTATGTTATATGGTTATAAAAAAAATAAAAACAAATTATGGATGTATAGGATAGGTTTTTTCCAAGATTAAGATTCATCTAGTATGCCTCATTGATTATAGTAAAATGATGAAATGGTATTTTTAATAGAGATCCGATAATTTCTTTTGAGGCAATTCTAAACTACTGTATTATATTTGTATTGGTATATTGAAAGCATTTTGCATACCCAGAAGAGAATAAATAATATAATAATTATAAAAAGAACCATACTATGGGAAGAGGTCACCCTATTAAATCGCTAAGGGGTTAAACTCATTTTTGATAAGCATATAAAATTTAGTTTTTGTGGTTAGACTTTTGATACTCAATTTGAACTCAATTGAAGTATTACAACCATATCCTTGCAGGTATAGGAAACAGCTGCAATATGATTTTAATATTTGCAATATATTAGTGTTTTCAATGTATTCTGACAATGGAAAAGTACCTAACTGCATGTCTGCATTACACCTATGACCCAGACTGTCAGTATTGCAAACCCTATATGAAGACTCTGCTTTCACTGTTTATGTATACACCCCTAGACAACCGTGCTATACATATACAAAAAATCTTCAAAAGCTTATTAATATTATATCTGTGTGGTACACAAAGAGGGGGTGTGAGTTAGGTAATCTTGACCTGTGTGAGGTAATCTCGACCTGCATATGGAATATGCTTCCTCCTTGCTCACTTTTGGTTAAATTGTTGGTCTGTGACTGGCCCTCTTTGACCCCAACTGAATTTCTTGGAAAGATTCATGAGAAAGATACAGCAGGTTGTTTTGATATAAAGAAAGAGGGAAAAGTATGTTGTATCGGTCACAAAAGGATTGTGATCTTGAGCAGGCGAGAAAAGGACATTTGGGAGGTGATAGGAGATTGAATCAGAAAAGTTTTGAAAGCAGAGGTAGAGGATTTGATCAAAGGACCTAACTTTTGTAGAGGTGGTAACTTCAGCACTGTTTTAATTCTGGATAGCAGGGATTCACCCCAAGGTGCTCGTGGTGAACCCGGTTCTCCTGGTCAAGCTGGCCCCACTGGTATTGCTGGTGTCCCTGGCTTCCCTGGTGCCTGTGGTGCTCAGTTGGTGTCTGCTGGGATGCACATAAGGGTAACAATGGTGAACCTGGTGCTCAAGGAGACAAGGGAGAACCCGGTGCTAAGGGAGAACCTGGCCCAGCTGGCATTCAAGGACCCACCCTGGCAGGTTCCTCAATACCAACCACAACTTTCA